CTTTTTTGGGAGAATTAGAGAAAAAGACCAATGAAAAGTGATATTCATAAAAAAAGATCATAAAAATTAAATTATTTAAAAGGACCAAATATTCAAATATAAATTTAAAGATACTATATTGTTTCTATTCAAACCTCGTACATTTTCTCTTATATTTCTCTCGCATTTTATTTTAAAACTACTGCAAATAATAAATTTAACTAAATTAAATATAGTTTCTTTCAAAATTTACAACCCACATAAAATAAATAAAAAAATATACAAACATTTTTCAGTCATGTAAAAATTAAAATTTTATTTTCTTTATAAAAAATTAAATTTTTTTAAGATCATCGCAGACTTTAATTAAAGATAAAAATTATATTATTTTATTAAAATTTAGATTATTATTAATTCATTATATAAGAAATATTTAAAATATTCAAAGAAAATGATTTCTTTAAATTTCTTAACGTTACATGAATTTTTTTATATAATTAGGTGGTTTTAGTTAAATGATTTTGAGGAGGGGTCTTACAAAAGTATAATAAATTAACTGAATTCTTTAAATTTCTTATCATTACATGATTTTTTTAATTTTAAATCTGATATAAATAAAAAAATTATACAAATTTTTTTTGAATTTTTTAAAATCATGCACATAATAAATTAAATATTAATCTAAATTTTGATAAAAGTATATAATTTTATTTTCAATTAAAGTTTATGAAGGTTTTAAAAATAAAACTTTAATTTTTAGATGAATCAACATTGTTTGCATATTTTTTAAATTGATTTTTACGTAGGTTGTAAACTTTAAGAAAAATCAGGTTTAATTTAGTGAAATTTGGTAATTTACATTAGTTTTAAAAATAAAATGTAGGAGGGAATATATGAGAAAATATAGGAGGTTTAGATAGGGAAAATATGATATTTTTAAATTTATATTTGAATATTTAGTCTTTTTGAATAATTTTAATTTTTATAATCCTCTCCCATAAATATTATGGCCTATTGGTCGTTTTCTCTAATTCTCCCTTCTTTTCTTGTTTCCTGAGTCATCCTTAATATCCCCTCATTTGGTCATTTTTCAGACTTTTTGACAGTGTTACCTAGTCACTGGACATGCTTTTAAAATTTAATTATATAATCAAATTATACATAATCAAATTATTATTTTATTTTACTGTAAAATATTATTTATATCAATTACAAATATTTTTTAAACAGAATAATTTTCTCTAAATTTGTATTTACAGAGTACTTATATTCTAATTTAAAGAGTTTATTAAAACCTTCTTTAAAGTTTTAGTTATATATATACAAATTTTAAACACGATAAAAATTATTTATTCTTTTTTCAGTCTAAAAAAATCATAAAATATGAGAGATTACTTAGAAGAGATAAAATAATTAATTTTTCTTTCTAATTAAAGAGAGCAGTCTGGTTATTTAGTAACATTCAGAAATCTATAATGATGAGGCCACATGGCTTAATTAGAAATTTATTAAAATATAGGCCTTAGTTTAGATTTAGATATTTAAGCCAGATTTTATTAGGATTCTCTCGTGAACATCATAAAAAAATCTTAATAAATACTGCTTTAAACTTGTTAAAAAGACATATATTTTGAAATAGACAGAGAAAATTTTAATTTCTTTTAGCATTATAAATTTTTAAATAAATCAAACCGAATTCAATTAAATTTACTATTAGAATTGTTGGCATAAAAAATTTACTATAAGAATTTATGGAGAATTTACAAAAAATGTATGCATCAGCGTTCGTTTAAATTTATTTGTTTTGTTATAATATGATCACTCAAAATCTAGTTATTAATCACATTTCATTATCCTTTTTTTTTTTTTTTTTGCAATTCTAGTACAGCAGTACTCAATCGTTTTATTTATTTTTCTTTTTATAATGTCTCAAAATTGAACCATATAGACTTTTTAAAATTGATGTTTTTATACATTTATTTTCCATGCATCTGTATTGCTGTAATTCTCTAGTAATTGCAAGAAAAAAATCCTTACATATTTGAATAGAGCCACATCGTTTAAACTATGTTGAACGAGAACGAAACCATTCAAATCATTTTAATCCTAATTAACTGATGAATCATTTAAAACCGTTTACATTTTATTTGCTTTTGAAAAAAAACTCTTAATTAAAAAAAATGAAAAACTTAGCTAATTAGGATTGAGAGGTTTATTTTTTCTTAAAAACAAAATAAAATGTGAATTATTTCAAACAAGCCATAAAATGTGTTTTCCTTCGAAAGAGTTCACGATATGACATTTTTTTTTCAACGAAGGAAAACAAACAAGAAAAACAACTACGTTCCCACATGTTCATTCCACAACATCGTTCTAAAGCTCGTGGGTAGGTTTGAGAACACCCATAGATCCATTGCCATCTTACTAGCCTCCTTCGCCAAGTAATCTGCCAGAGCATTGGCTTCTCAACAACAGAGGTTCACGTCCCACCAACCAGTTTCTTTCAACATGCTGTTGATTTCAATCAGCAAGGCAGCATCTGGGACATTCTTAGGATGCATTTAGCATGAGCTTGATTTAAAAAATTAAATAAGATTAAAAGTTTTTAATTAATTTTTTTACTCGTTTATCTTACATTCTTAAGATTAAAGGTTTTTAAAAAACTGAATAAATAAGATTAAAGGTCTTTATCTTACTCTGGATTGCTCAATTTCAATCTAACAAACGATTGAGATGGGTGATAGAGAGGAAGGGATAGAAAGGGTAGAGGAGGAGAAAAGCCAAATCCACAAATTAAAGATGGCGTATAACTGGTATATTATGATTTTATTTAATGTTACTCCTCCTTTTATAAGACCCAATTTGACTTTTTATTGGTCCTAATTATAAGACCCAATCCATTTTCTCTCTTATATTTATGCATTTTTTTCCAAGATAATCCTTCTAATAATGATAGTTTTAGCCAATATACTTAATTAGAAAGAATATTTTAGGAATAACAACACTTATTTATTATAAATAACCAACTTAACTTACTTCCTTAATCTCCTCAAATAAGTCAATTGGGTCTTATAATTAGGACCGGAGGAGTATTAGATAACTAATTTTTAGTACCGAAAATGCTATGTACTATTATATTAAATTATCTTCCATGATTTGATTTTTACAGCAGGAAACTATTCCGTTTCTTTCTATTACTCTTAAGAGCGTGGGTGAGGATAGAGTCCAGATACGCAATCCGAAGCAATATGCGTTGTGTTTGCAAAGCTCATCGCAAATCAAACTTTCATATTTGAGCATCTCAACTGTACAATTCAAGCTTCTTCCAATGGCAATGGCTCCCTCTTTTTTCGATTCTATCTTGTGAAATCTGAAGGGCCAATGCATGATATCCTTCATAGAAGTGATTTTTATTCATTGTAATCAACGCTTCTCTCCAGAGAGATTCTCGCTTGCTCATTTATTTTCACGGGAATCTCACCCATTGTTTGCTGGCACATGCAATGGGCTTGCATGTTCTGCTCAATGTTCACCATTAGATTCCGCAGCCATCCTTATCTGGAATCCCTTGCTTCGAAAATATGCGGCGCTTCCCAAACCAATCATTACATCAAATAAACGCGACCGTCGATACCAGTTCACATATGCTCTCTGTTTTGGGTTTGGTTTCGATTCCAGGAACAACGATTACAAGGTCGTTAGGATCATGAATCATCGCAATAAACGAGATACTCATCATGTTGAGGTGTACTCTCTTGTTTCTCATTCGTGGAGAAGTATTACTGTTGGAGTTCCTCAGTTTGGGGTTCGTCATTATATGGGCATTTGGTTAGTCTAAGTGCAATGTGATGGTTTAAGGTACAAATTAATACTCCTCGTGTCATTAATATATGACATATTTAACTAATTTAATTAAATTAAGAAAGTTAGGTATATTAGTTAATTATAAGAAATATGACATGTTTTTTTTAAAATACTATAATAATCTTTCTTAATATTCTTCCTTCCTTCCTTACTTCATTATGGTTGAAGGAATATCCATATAGATAATTTAAAAAAAATTGATAAATATGAGAAATAGGTCTCATATTTAGGATCAAAATTAACTTAATAATTAAGTCTTATATCAAGGACAGGAGGAGTATTATCATTTAATATGGTTGAAGAAACATTTGAAGAATTAAGGTTAGCACAACAACTGAGTAAATATTGTGGTGTGTTATACTTGCTTCCCGGGGGAAGGAGGGCATTCGTTTACTGTGGTGAGAAAAACCCATGATAAGAAATCCCAATGGACTTTTAGAGTAATGGTGTTAAAATAAGTTAAAATGTCGTGAACAACGTTCAAGTGAAAATGTAGATCCACAATATGATACTTAATTGGATCTTGTATGGTATGGATAAGAGATTAAAAAAAAAAAAAGAACTGGTCTTTTAAACCCAGCTCTATATAATTGTTCTATGCGTTGCATTTTGAAAACTTGTTTTTTTGTTGTTGTTATCCATATAAAATTCAGTTAGGTCCTATCTAGTAAGTCTATATCATGACTTTAACATCATTCGTGGCACTTTAGCACTTTCACATCCTTTACGACAATTCAGCATATTAATGGACTAAACTATAAGGACTAAAACTAAAGATTTAAAATTTAAAGTACCAAAAATAAATAGTTCAAATCTTAATAACGCAAAATCATATTATCCCAATATAATTTTACTTTGATAGGAGATGAATTGATGCGCCATTGTTTTGACTCAAAATCTCATGACATTTCCATTGAGCCAAGAAGACCAATCACTCATATCATAAATAATGAGTTTTCGTTGCATCAAAACAACTACTAATAACATTTAAGAGACACATATAAAACTAATTAGCAAATATTGAACATTGAGCACAATAGAAAAGCACCATAACTGTTTGGGATCTTTAAAAAACCCACCTCAAGTGAACAAGAAATATAAACCAAAACATATAATCTTAAGCTTAGACTTGTAGTACCATGGTCGTTCAATAAGTGTTAGAAAGACAAAACATCAGGTTCTTTGTTTATTAGGAACAAACTCTCAACATAAGATCCAACATAAGCTTCAGAATATCCCTGACGTCCCACAGGCTCCAACGATCCATTGATTGGATCAATTAAAGTAATAACTTCACTTGCAAGTCTCACAACCACTTTTCCACCACTAGTTAGAGCTAATATGTCTAATACGCCCCCATAACATTCTGAATCACATTGGAATACTTCAGTCCATGACTCGATAATACCATATTTTTTCATCACCCAAACACTGAACACCCGTCGGCTCCTTTTCATAAAATGATTCACCACGGAAAGCGAATGGCCTCCTTCCACAGCAAGTAATGTTGACTCAACCTTCCTCGACTGTTGTGGTAACATTAATTCTCCAAATGTCTCTTCAATTACATCAAATGACAAAATAGATTTGTACCATGAACCATCACATCTCCAACGACCAACAACCCAGTGTACCGCCCCATTCACAGTTACAGGGGTAAACCAATGGCGTAAATGACAAATGAAAAATGGAGGAACTGTAACATCAATAATTCTCCAAGAACGAGAAACAAGAGAGTACACCTCAACATGAGGGGTATCTTGTTCAGCGCGAAGAATCATGAGTCTAATGACCTTGTAATCGTTGTTCTTGGAATCAAAACCAAACCCAAAATGTAGATGATACTTGTCATCAAGTTGACTTTTGCGGTTTTTGCAGGTCATAATTGGTTTGGGAAGCACCAAATATTTCCGAAGCAAGGGATTCCAAATAAGGATGGTTGCGGAATGGAAGGATGAATAGTCAGCAGCACAGACGAGGCCATTGCATGTGCCAGCAAATTAAATATTTCAAGACGATCCCGCCGAAATAGATGAGAGAGTGGGAATCTCTCTACAGAGAAGTGGTCGGTTTGCTGATTAACTGAGTATAATGAGTAAAACTGCTCTCGATGAAGATGAATCTGCCCTTTGTATCCTGTAAGAGAGAACTGAAAAAAGAGGGAGCCCCGGCTATTGGAAGCTTGGATTGTACGGTTGAGATGATCAGATACGAAAGTTCGATTTGTGATGAGGGAATTCCAAGCTCTGCAAACAGTGATGAATTTCACAAGAGACTTGACGGGTAGTCTGTGAAGGATTTCCTCCACAATTTCTTGGGGTAAACGATCAGACATATTGCTTTAGCTTGCAAATCTGGACACTATCCTTGACTCCACTACTCTTTAGCATAAAAGAAGCGAAGGTAATAGTTTTCTGGGGTAAAAGGCATACAGACGTTATTTATAGAAAAAAATGACTCTAATGGAAAATATTCTAGGAACCTGATCCTATCCCAATCAATCAACCAATTAATCAGTCAACCAATCAACCAATCATCAATTATATTATTAAAAACTTGTAATACTCGATACATTTAAAAATGTATCAGATATGACATTATAAGATCAAAGTATATTTAATTAATGAAATTTAAATAACATTTTGATTGAAATTTGAATATATTGAGTTAAATAGGAAACATTATAAATAAATTTAATTTCAAATAGAGATTCAAATGAATAAATTAATAATTAATTTTGAATTTGAATAATATCTTAATTGAAATTTGAATATATTAAATTATATCATAATTAAATAGCAAATCCTTAAACAATTTTTTTTTTTCAAAATTTAGATAGGTTGAACTTTAAAAGATCATCGCCATCATAACAAATTCTCAAAACTCAAATTGAAAACAAAACTGTGTTTATATCTAATGGTACATATAGCTTTGGAAGATATGTAATATATTTGCTGGAGTTCTATTTGTGGGTTAGGACACTAGATTTCCAATTCTTCAAGCAGTTGCTTGCCTCGAATTTTTTTCAAACAAAAAAAATTAATATCAGATTCTCAAGCAAATTACAGAAGATTGAAAAGAAACTTGTTTATAATATCATCGGTCAAGAAAGTTATTAAATCTTAATTATTTTCACTCAACTCGTACTTTGCTCCGACTTGGACCAAACTGTAGGCGACCAAAAAAAACAAATCATGTAACTTGCATACAAAAATTGAAGGTCATCCCGCTATTTCCAATTGCTATTAATCTTCTCTCCGGATATCAAATAAAAAGGGTTAGCAGTTCATGATTCTTATGGCGTAACCGGTTAGACCAATAATTGAACCAGTAACATATTAATTGAATAAAAATTTAATATTATATATAATAATATATGTAAAAGAATACAATATCAAATTATTAAATAACTTTTAAAAACTTATATAGACTAATTTTACGGTTAATTGTGGTTCAATAAGTTATTATAATAATATATTTATTAATTTATCTATCTCTATAAATTAAGTTTTATATTTTCTTATAGAGGTGTGTGAATATGGTCGCCCAAAATTTCTTCCAATCACCACCAAACATTTATTTACCATTCATTTATTATAATAATATATTATTAAATTTATTCATTAATTTGAAATGTGAATATAAAGATAAGTAAATATATGTTTGTTGGCCTCATCCCTCGTCACGTGCTTTGGGTACCAAAGGGAAAATTGTAATCAGGTCTCACCTAAGACAATTGAATTTTAAAATTTTTTTTGAAATCATCAAATTATTTTGAAGCCCCAAGAAAACTCATTGCAAGAGATTTTATTTGTTTAATTATCAAATTACTCTCATTTTTTTGTTAAAGTATGTATTGACAATTGAAAGTGCAGTCATTAATAACTTAACGTGTAATGATTAACAACTATCGCGACAGTTATTGACAACTTATGCATTATATTTTTGGGATGTGTTGAGAAAATATGTTGTTAATACCTTTCATGATAATTGTTAATTATTACACCTTAAGTTGTCAATGGGCATAGCTACTCTTTCAGTTGTTAATGCATACTTAAAGAAAGATAATTGAGTAATTAAACAAATAGAATCTCTTGTAATGAGATCCTTTGAGACTTCAGAATAATTTCAGAATAATTTGATGATTTTAAGGGATTTTTTTTGTATTTAAATCTTTGTGTGTTGAAAAGAAACTTGTTTATGATATGGATTCTTTGATAAAAGTAAGAATTGAAAGTTGTTATTCTTAATTATTTACACTCAAAAGCTCATATTTTGCTCCAACTTGGATCGAACTCACGGGCGACAAAAAAAATTCATGTAATTTGCATTCTATTTCGAATTGCTATTAACCTTCTCTTAAATCGAGGTGACTCAAAGCTTATAATGAAAAGGATAATAAAAAGGAAAACGAAAATTTAAGAATTGAATTACACATGCCTACAGCGCATAATTTAAGGAGACTTCCAGAAGAAAATTTTGTTCCAAAATATAAGAGGCTGACATGATAATTAATGATAGTTTTTAATGAGGATGAGAGAGAGTTTTAAATGAGGAGAAACAAGAGATAATTTTCCAATCATATTTTTTAATAGGGAAAAAATAGGTAACTTGTATCAATTTAAAATATTTTTAAAATAAAATAACAAATAAAAACCCTAGAATATGTAAAATTTGTATTTGGGTGATTGAATGTGCATAATTCCTACCATGACCCAGTCTAAAATAAGAATTATGAAATATGAGTTAAAAAACTAAAATACCTCCTTAAAAAAACATAAGGGGAAGAAAACCTCGTTGGCCACTAGCGGCAGGATTTTCTTTTAAAGTTTGGCTGGTGGGATCCCCCAACCGAAGTCATCCTAAAATTAAGGATGACTAATGAGCAAACAGTCTTTATTTACATTATAATGTTAAAAAAATATAAGTTAATTTTTTTACTAACCTTATGATGTGGTAACACTTCACCTGAAAATAATAAATTCTAGTTGTGAGATAATAAGTTTCGAGCCGGAATTAATAATACATTTTTTCTTGATCCATAACAAGTAAAATAAGGTACTAATTGATTTAGGATGCACATTTTTTCACAATCCAATGTAACAAAGCCAAACAGTATTTTACATTTGATGGGTTATTAACGTCAGAAAGGAGATTCAAAGTAGGTTTGGGTTTATCTATTTGTTGCAGGTGCCATAAGGACTCCGAGAATGTACTACATGTTCTACGAGATTGCGAGGAGGCAAGGAAAATCTGGTTACAGATATGTTCAGATATTAACACTCATGTTTTCTTTAATACGAATCTTAATGAATGGATGTTGTGCAATTTGAGTAGTAAAGCTATGGTACGTATTGTGTCAAATGGAATATTGTGTTTGGTACTATATGTTGGTTTCTTTGGTTCCGAAGAAACAAAGTTTTATTCGATGATGAGTTTGAAGCAAGTACGTAGGATCTGTAAAAATCTGGTTACAGATATGTTCAGATATTAACACTCATGTTTTCTTTAATACGAATCTTAATGAATGGATGTTGTGCAATTTGAGTAGTAAAGCTATGGTACGTATTGTGTCAAATGGAATATTGTGTTTGGTACTATATGTTGGTTTCTTTGGTTCCGAAGAAACAAAGTTTTATTCGATGATGAGTTTGAAGCAAGTACGTGGGATCTGTAAAAATCTGGTTACAGATATGTTCAGATATTAACACTCATGTTTTCTTTAATACGAATCTTAATGAATGGATGTTGTGCAATTTGAGTAGCAAAGCTATGGTACGTATTGTGTCAAATGGAATATTGTGTTTGGTACAATATGTTGGTTTCTTTGGTTCCGAAGAAACAAAGTTTTATTCGATGATGAGTTTGAAGCAAGTACGTAGGATCTGTAAAAATGCTGTTTGGAAGTATCTTGATTCAGTGAAAGGAGCCTATCAAATGGGAGATGGAGGAGTTTAATTTGAAGAGTTGGAGGAGTGTAGGGTGGAACCCTCCATATCCTGGGTGGGTCAAGTTGAATATTGATGGTGCTACTAAGTGTCAACCTGAATTTACAAATTGTAGTGGTTTACTCAGAAACAAGAAAAGAGAATGTTTTGGAGGATTTGTGAATAATTTGGGTAAATGTACAGCAATTGAGGTAGAACTTTGGGGAGCTTGGTCAGGCTTTTTATTGTTGGCCGAGAAGAACTAGAGGAAGGTTATAGTAGAATCTGACTCTCTTAGTTTGGTCACGATGCTGAACGATCTGTTTGTATAGAATAAGGCCAATAATAGATTTTTGAGTCATATACAGAGATTAGTTGATGACACTTAGGATATACAAGTTTTGTATACTTGTCAAGAGGGGAACACTAGCACAGATTGGCTTGCTAATTGGAGTTTGTCGTGAGTAGTTGGCTTACAGTGGCTGAATAAGCCTTTGAGAGGATTACTAACATTACTATATAGAGATTCTATGGGCTCTACTTACATGAGACTTGTTTTGTTGAATATTTGTTGATTTGGGTGTTTTTTTGCCCATTTTTACCAACAAGAAAAAGATACTAATTGATTTAGGATGCACATTTTTTCACAATCCAATGTAAAAAAACAAACAAACAGTATTTTAATTAACCAAAATGTATATACTTATCATAATAATGAAAAAGAATTTTTAATTTGTAAAGGTAAATTTTAGTAATTAAAATTTTATAATGACAAATTTATCTCTAATTTTTTCTTGTGCTAAAAAAATTAAAAAGTACTTTTAATCTATAATAAGTTACATTATTTATAATTTATAAAAATTATTTCTGTTAATAATGTGTCAGCTAGATATATAGATTAAAACGTGTCTATAATTTATATTTTTCGTTAATTAAAAATACTTTTAATTATTTAA